AATAAATAATCTAAACCGGATAAAAATAACAAATCAATTTAATCACAAAACAAGCACGAAATTACATATACCATAGTAAAAACAAACTAATTAACATTTTTTTTAACAACTAATAACAATTTTTCTATTTTACTAATTTTTTAGACTGAAGAATACTATAGTCCGGATAAAAAACAACAAATTAGTTAAGTCACAAAACAATCACAAAATAACATAGAGCACATAAAAAAACAACTGATATATATTTTTTATACAAGTTTTAACAAAAACAAAGTCAAAATACCTCGATTTAAGGCATTTAGAAAGTTGAAGATTTGTGATTTGGAGCAGAAACAAGCAACAATGTCCGAGATAACGCCTTAGCTAGCACCTGGGACCGAGAATCTTTAGTTTTTGTGGGACGGGTGGGCTCCACTCAAGATTTTTTGGATTAAAAATGGGGGGGGGGGGGGGGGGCGCTAGATTTTTTTAATTTGGGGGGGTGGGGAGGTTCTTGAAGACGGGTCTTCTGGTTTGGTGAAGGAAGAAGACGGGTCTTTATTATATATATAGCGTCTTTTGTTAAGACGTTATATATAACGTCTTAACAAAAGACGCTACAGTTTCCCGCTTAAATTAATTCAAATATAGCGTCTTTTTAAAAGACGCTATACTTAACTAGCCAAACGGCCGTTAAAGTATAGCGTCTTTCAAAAAGGCGCTATATATATTATGGTCACTATATTTTTTTTTCACATATTTTTTTTTCTTTGAGTCCAAAAGAACCACATTTTGGTTCCGGACTCTACATAATAAATGTTATGTATAAGAGAATTTTAAATGAGACTTGCATAATAAATGAAAAAAAAATACCTCTGTATATCATATCTTTTATGGTAGAAACACCTAATTCCAAACTTATTATGCGTACGTAAGTTATATCATGCGTAAACTTCACTCTCAAAGTAAAATAAATCAACAATAAAAATAAAAGAGGAAAAAGGACAATTGAATTATTATTTGACGAGGTCACAAACAATCGGTTCAAATTAGAGCTTGATCTAATAAATTACTTGGCTAGGCTTAATAAGCAATGAACGATGATAATAACGCGATTAAAGTAGTTAAGCAAAAGAAAGAATAATCTTATTGAAAGTTATTATGAGCCATAATGTTGGAAAGTAATGATCAATTGCCCAACCTGACAAGAGCGAAATACAGTAGCTTCAAGTGATGAATAAGTAAAGCATAATTTGAATGAATCAACAACTGAGAGTACCAGAGGTATTGATAGCCCGAGCAGCCGAGCCTAACTTTCACATCCCTAGTTCCACTCTCACATGTTGCTCTGGGTAGTTGTTAGTAGCCAAAATACTCGCCGGTTGTGAGATAAGCGTCAAACATATTAGATATGAGTGAATCCCGGATATTTCGGAGACAGCTGAAGACCAAGCAAGACTTCGTCTTTAGAGAGCTTCACCGGAGAATTTCTCCCATCTCCCCGAAAACGAGCTATCGGGTCGAAGATATTTTTCGTGAGGGCAAACCTTTGATGTTCCTTCATCCCCGAGTGAAACTTATTCCAAGCGGCATTGTGTCACCGTGTGAACTACCCACGTATCAAGGCCAAATTTCACCAGTAAAATCTCCAAAATTTGCACAATCACCGTGTGAACTACCCACTCTCTCAAGGTTAAAGAAAAACCTGTAGAATGCATTAAAATTGTTTGGTCATAAGTCGAAGGTTTTTTTTTGATTTGAAGCCAACACCTTCAGGCTATAGCCTTTGGTGTGGGGGGTTAGACAAGACCTCTACCATATCTATATATAAACAAAAAGGTACAAAATAGAGGGGGGCATGGACCTTACCTCTATACTAATGAAAGAAAGGAGAACCTAGATTCCTTTCATTAATACAAACTATACAATCAGCTTACAAAAAAATTACATTTATCATATCTTCTTCTCATGGAAGGAAGTTGACATCTATCTAGTTGAAATAGTCCCTTAGCCTCTCTTGGTAACTGCTGAAAGGAGTGATAGAAGGTGCTAGTTCCACTAGAAGATGCTAACTTAGCGAGAAAATCCGCCACTTGATTTGCTTCCCTGAAGCAATGAGAGATCTGTACAGTAGCGTCTCTGAAAGCATGAACAGTATCCATGATGATGTTCTTTAACTTAAGGTTGTCGATTCCCCTGTTGAGAAGCATATTAGCAATCACCATGGAGTCCACTTCAATATGAATCATGCGTAGCCCTTGTTGAAAGCACCATTTAGTGCCAAAGTTGGTCGCCATTGCTTCAATGTGATTGTTGCTGCTAGTGTGTACACAGAGAGAAAAGGCCATCAAAAAATCTCATTCACTATCCCTGACACCTCCAATGCCAGCCTTTCTATTTTCTCTATTGAAGCTTCCATCTGTATTGAGTTTGATCATCCCCGTCATAGATTTATTCCACGTAACTTGCTTGATATTTACTGTGTGTTGGAGTCTTTCATTCATATTGCAAATGTTGGGCCATGTACCTGTTAAGTTATACCTTGGATAGGTGATTTGAATGGCTGCTTGAATGTGCCAGATGGTTTGAAATTCCATCTTTCTTTTGTAGAATTTTTTTTGCTCGCCATATTTACATGTCGTCCAGCTCTTCCAAAGTTCCCACCAGATTACCACTGGAGCTATATGTAATAGAAGTTTGTGTATAGCATTTTTTAGATTAATGTCCCACCGTTCCTTAATAACTCCATTGATCGGCAATTGTTGGTGAGTGATTCCTAAAGGAGCACCAACGTATTTCCAAATGTGCATAGTTGCCTCTCCCTCCACAAAAGTGTGATGGATAGAATCATTGTTAGGCATATTGCAACAACAACATCTGAATGTTATTGGTTGCCAAATCTAGCAAGTACTTCATCAAAGAGGAGTTTACCTAAACACAATCTCCAAGTAAGAAATGAGAATTTAAAAGGAATAGAGTTATGCCAAAGCTTACTGAAGAACATATTTGTAGGTCTCTATTTGCGGATAATATGCCAAGCAGATTTATTTGAGTATTGGCCATCTTCAGTGCTATTCTATACAACATCATTTGTATCAGTTGGTTGGCCAATGTTGATATTGCTAATGATTTCCACCATTTGATTTGTGAGGGTGTTGCAAATCTTGTTCATGTCCCAGTCACCATTGCTAATAAAATTCACTAACGTTGGTTTTATTACCAATGGAGGTAGTAATATTATTATTGCCATACGCCAAAGGACCTGTCATTGTCCAATTGTCCCATCAGAAGTTGCAGTCACCAGAGTTAACAAGCCATATGATATTGCCTTCTGCTTTATCTCTAGACCATAGCAATTGTTTCCAAGCCTGTGAGTTGCCCGAGATCCATTTCTTTTTTACAGGGTGACTCCTTGGGCAATATTTGGCTCTGAGAAAATCAGTCCATAATGAAGGTTTTGTTCTGAATCTCCACCATCTCTTGATAGTTAAGGTGGCAGAGATATCTTCAAGACTTTTAATATCAATGCCACCTTCCTCTTTAGGAAAGCATAAGTTTTTCCAGGAACTCCAACGATAGTTATTTAGTCGAAGGTTTGATAAATGACAAATTGACAATACGCAAGAGCACAACCATACGACTTTTTTAGGCTCACGATCTGCCAAGCTAGGCTCAGTGGTCTATGTGGTCTTTAAATGGCAAAAGAGGCGCATTTTTTCTTTATAAAACACACAATCGCTCTCAATATTTTCAACCGGTAACTGCCACCTAGTGATGGCAAAATGGTTAAAAGAAAACAGTTAACCATATTATCTATTAAAAAATAGGTCGGATAATGAACTTTTTAAAAACGGGTCAAATATGGATAAGAACCATATTATCCATTTAGAAAATTTCTAAATGAATAACCAATGAGTAACCAATGGATAACCAATGAGTTTAACTTTTACATTTGTAAAGCCTGAAATTGGGAGTTCCCCAAGTTTGGGTGATTAAAAATTCTCTCAAAAGTAATCATATTCAAGAAGTCATGGATAATATGGTTACCCATATTATCCGCCGGTTAACCCGTTTTTTATCCGTATTAAGTATGTGTCGGGTCGGATAATTTATCCATTTTTTCATTACCCGTTTTGACCCGAACCATATCCGACCGCCCCGCCCGTTTGCCACTCTTACTACCACCTAACAATGACGTACACATCCACACATAAATAGAGAAAGCTACCTGCGCGTGAAGACGGTTCCTTAACTACACGTTTTGTAATGGCTTATTTAGGTGTAGCTAAACAACTATAAAAGCCTGCTAAAACTTACGGAAGCAATCTACTGTACATATCTAGATCTCCATTTCCTTCGTTAAAGGTTTAAAAAATGGAGATCACTCATTTCTCTACTTTCAATTTTATTGCACTGCTCATCTTCTTTTCCTTCCTTTTTGTTCTACTCCCCCCGTTTCATATTAAATGAGGTACTTTCCTTTTTAGTCTATTTCAAAACAAATGACACATTTTTAAATTTGGAAAATAATTCAACTTTAAACTCCTCATTTTACTCATTTTATCCTTAATGAGAAGCTTTTATAATCACACAAAAGTCATGACCCCACAAAGTTTTACCCCTTAAGCTTTTAAGACCACAAATTTCAAAAGACTTTTTTTTTTCTTATACTCCGTGCCGAGTCTACTACCTCATTTAATTTGAAACGGAGGGAGCACTTGGCAAGAGAAATAAATCAAAACAACAAAAGTTGCCTCCAGGTCCATGGACACTTCCCCTTATTGGAAGTATCTATCACTTGAGAGGAGCATTTACACATCGCACTCTTGGAAAATTAGCAAGAAAGTATGGGCCTATCATGTTCGTCTCTAAAATCTCACGAACTTGCCTTCACTTCTAAACCACAACTTACATCCATAGCCATTAATACTTACAATTATAAGGACATTGCATTTGCACCCTATGGTGACAATTGGCGAGAAATGCGTAACATATGTGTTACGTAACTTCTAAGTGCCAAGATGGTTAAGTCTTTTAGTTCAATTCGGAATGATGAGATTTCAAGTCTCGCTTCATCAATTCGATCCATTAATGGTTCCGTTGTCAACATAACAAAAGAAATCCTTCAATTTACAAACTCTGTCACGTGTAGATCAACCTTCGGAAAAGTAAACCAAGATCAAGACGAGTTAATCAATTTGTTGAGGGAAGTACTGGATACAATAGGAGGATTTGTTGTGGCTGATTTGTTCCCTTCTTGGAAGTTACTTCACAAGATGAGTGGGGTGAAGTCGAGAATGTTAAAGCTGCATCAGAAGGTTGATGCAGCTCTGGAGAACATACTGAATGCGCATATTAAGAATATAATGGAGCACTCGGAACCAAGGGAAATGGTGAGTTTGGAGGTGAAGATTTGGTTGATGTACTCCTAAGAATTCAGGAGAATGGAGAATTCCAATTTCCACTCACAAATGATCACATAAAAGCAGTAATTTCGGTAAGTTTTCTCCTTAAACATTTTAAATTGTACATTATTCTCATTGAATTATCTATTACCTTATATATGTATGAATATGTTGTTCCTACTTGTGTACTTATTTTTTATTGAAGTAGGATATGTTTGCTGCTGGAACTGAAACTTCAGCGGCGACTATTACAAGGACATTATCGGAAATGATGAGGAACCCAAACATATTATGGCCAAGGCACAAAGTGAAGTGAGAGAAATGTTTAAAGGAAAGACAAGTTTTGATGAAAAAGATCTTGATAGATTGTCATACCTATTTAATAATAAAAAAGGACGAGTGAGAGAAAACAATAAGGTAACAACACGACTATACCATATGGATCGTTTCATAAAGTGACATTTTTTATCGTTACGTAACGACGGATATAACGATATCATAAAGTGACACTTTTTATCATAAAGTGACACTTTTTATCGCTCGCTCGGCTCGGCTTCGGCTTCGGATTCGGATTCGGATTCGGATTCGGATTCGGATTCGGATTCGGATTTGGATTTGGATTTGGTCAAACGATCGATTGATTGATTAACTTTTTGGACCAAATTTATTTGTTAATAGTAAAATATTAATAGAAATGTTATTACATATTTGTTTTAATAACAAAATATTAATATTAAATCCAATCCGTTTTTCTGTTTTGGTAACAGAAAAGTAACTACCCTCTTCAATTTTTCCTCTTTATTTTCCCTCTTTATTGTTGAGTAAATGGCCATTTATGTAATGGCATCTATGCTGTGGGCGTTTTGCATAAACAGCCATTCTGAAGAGTTGCACCTCTTCAGATTTCAGCGCAACTTTGGCTATAAATACAACACTATTCTGGTCAGAATTTTACTACGATTTTCTGAGTTTCTTCTCCTTCTTCTGCATACTTTTAGCATCAAACAAAGCAAAAAGTAAGTGTGATTTGCTGCCGAACTTTGTGTTCGCTGAAACGCTGGGGTTTGAAGTACCACTACACCAGTGTGTAATTCGTTCTATCCTGGGAGGAAATAATCCATAACCTTAGGTACTAGGAGGGGATTAAATTCCTTAAGGAAACACTGTGAATTCAGTGGGCTCGAATTGGTTTTATGCCATTTCTGTTTATGTTCATTTCTGTTTATATTCATTTATATTTCCAGAATTATTTTACAAATACAGTCTACTAACAAGCTTAAGGAATTTAATTTATTTTCTGTATTTGTACTTACTGTTTCTGGAAGAGTAAAACCTTTGTGGTTTTGTACTCTATTAAAATCTACGTGATTTTAACGTTTGCGTCATTCTTTTACAGAAATGACTAATGAGAATGAGAACCAAGCTGTTCCAATGGTGACTGCCAATGCCTCAACAAGCCGAACGACACACCGGCAGCATTGGCACCGGCGGAGAAACCCGGAAAATTTTCCGGGATTGATTTCAAGCACTGGCAGCAAAAGATGTTCTTCTATTTAACTACTCTAAGTCTCCTGAAGTTCATCAAGGAAGATGTTCCTGTGTTGTCCGATGAAACTCCAGAAACTAAACGCTTTCTCGTGATTGAGGCTTGGAAGCATTCAGATTTTTTGTGCAAGAATTATATTCTAAGCGGGCTGGAAGATGCTTTGTATAACATCTACAGTGGCGTAGAAACGTCAAAGGAACTGTGGACTACGCTTGAAAAGAAATACAAAACCGAAGATGCCGGGTTGAAAAAGTTTGTTGCTGCAAAGTTTTTGGACTACAAAATGGTAGATAGCAAGTCTGTTATTACCCAAGTCCAGGAATTGCAAGTGATTATTCACAATCTCCTTGCTGAAGGTATAAATCAAATTAATATTGATGTTGAAAGTAATAATCTTAGTATTTTTACTAATAGAAATTTTATTGAAGGTCTTGTCATCAATGAAGCATTTCAAGTAGCAGTAATGATTGAGAAGTTGCCTCTTTTATAGAAGGACTTCAAAAACTACTTGAAACACAAACGCAAGGAGATGTCCCTTGAAGATCTCATTGTTCGGTTGAGAATCGAAGTGGACAACAAAGCTGCTGAAAAGAGAGGCCGTGGAAACTCAACAATAATGGGAGCAAATATTGTTGAAGAGAACAAAAAGAGGAAGAAGGCTTCTGGACCGAAATACAACCCAAGCAAGAAGCGGTTCAGTGGAAACTGCTACAACTGTGGAAAAACTGGACACAAATCTACGGAGTGTCGTGCTCCAAAGAAAGACAAGAAGAAGGGTCAAACAAACATGGTTGAAAAGCATGATGATGTTGATGATTTATGTGCCATGCTTTCCGAATGCAACTTGGTGGGCAATCCTAAAGAGTGGTGGATTGATTCTGGAGCCACTCGCCATGTTTGTGCTGTTAGAGAAGCTTTTGCTTCTTATGCTCCTGTTGGACCTGATGAGACGATTTCTATGGGAAATGCTTCAAAGGCGAAGATTGAAGGATGTGGGAAGATATTTCTCAAAATGACTTCCGGCAAAGTGGTGACTTTGAACAACGTCCTTCATGTTCCCGAGATTAGGAAGAATTTAGTCTCTACTGGACTTCTTGTTAAGAATGGTTTTAAATGTGTTTTTGTTTCCGATAAGGTTGTAATAAGTAAGAATGAGATGTTTGTAGGAAAAGGTTACCTCACTGAAATGGTTTTCAAGCTGAATGTAATGGTTGTTGAAAATAATAATAAAATTTCAGCTTCGTCTTACTTACTTGAGTCAAATGAATTATGGCATATACGTTTGGGTCATGTCAATTATAAAACCTTACGGAAAATGATTAATTTGGAAGTATTGCCCAAGTTTGAATGTGACAAATCAAAATGTCAAGTATGTGTGGAATCTAAGTATGTTAAACATCCTTATAAGTCGGTTGAAAGGAATTCAAATCCTTTAGACTTAATTCACACAGATATTTGTGACATGAAGTCAATACCATCTCGCGGTGGAAAAAAGTATTTCATAACTTTTATTGACGATAGTACTCGATATTGCTATGTTTACTTACTTAATAGTAAAGATGAAGCAATAGACGCATTCAAGCAATACAAAAATGAAGTTGAAACGCAACTTAATAAGAAAATCAAAATGATAAGAAGTGATAGGGGTGGTGAATATGAATCTCCTTTTGAACAAATATGTTTAGAATATGGAATTATTCATCAAACAACGGCCCCTTACACGCCCCAATCCAATGGGATTGCAGAAAGAAAGAATCGTTCATTAAAGGAGATGATGAACGCATTATTGATAAGTTCTGGTTTGCCACAGAACTTGTGGGGGGAAGCCATTCTTACGGCTAGCCGAATACTAAATCGAGTACCCCATAGCAAAACACAATCCATTCCATATGAAAAATGGAAAGGAAGGAAGCCCAACTTGAATTATTTTAAAGTGTGGGGGTGTTTGGCAAAAGTGCAAGTTCCTAAACCCAAAAGGGTAAAAATAGGACCGAAAACCGTTGATTGTGTTTTCATAGGATATGCGACTAATAGTAAAGCATATCGATTTCTGGTTCATAAATCAGAAAATCCCGACATTCATAATAATACGGTTATAGAATCAGATAATGCTGAGTTCTTTGAAAATATATATCCGTATAAAAAGGAATGTGAGTCGATTGGTGAAGGATCTAAACGACCTCGGGAAGAAACAAAAGAAAGTACACTTAACCAAGAGGATCCAAGACGTAGTAAACGTCAAAGAACGTCTACTTCATTTGGACCAGATTTTGTGACTTTCTTATTGGAAAATGAGCCTCAAACATTTAAAGAAGCTATGTCTTCTTCGGAATCATTGTTATGGAAAGAGGCGGTCAATAGTGAAATAGAATCCATACTGAACAACCATACATGGGAATTGGTTGATCTTCCTCCTGGAAATAAACCGTTGGGTTCTAAATGGATCTTTAAGAGGAAAATGAAAGATGATGGCACTATTGACAAGTATAAGGCAAGACTTGTGGTCAAAGGGTATAGACAACGAGAAGGTCTTGACTATTTTGATACATACTCTCCAGTTACAAGAATTACATCCATACGAACGTTAGTAGCGTTAGCTGCAGTTTATGGTCTTGAAATTCATCAAATGGATGTTAAGACGGCCTTCTTAAATGGAGAGTTGGAGGAAGAAATTTACATGGAACAACCTGAAGGGTTTGTGGTTCCAGGTAAAGAAAAGAAGGTCTGTAGACTTGTTAAGTCCCTTTACGGATTAAAACAAGCACCCAAACAATGGCATGCTAAATTTGACCAAACAATGTTGTCAAATGGATTTAAGATAAATGAATGTGATAAATGTGTGTACATTAAAAATGTTCCAAATCACATAGTCATTGTTTGCTTATATGTGGATGATATGCTCATAATGAGTAATGACATTGCCAACATAAATGCTACTAAGCGTATGCTAACTAGCAAGTTTGATATGAAAGACTTGGGAGTTGCTGATTTAATTCTGGGAATTAAGATCCATAAGACTTCTCAAGGTCTAGCATTGTCACAATCTCATTATATTAAGACAGTACTTGAAAAATTCAAGCACTTGGGCTTTAAAGTTGCAAAGACTCCAATTGATGTGAATCTTGCATTAGCAAAGAACAAAGGCCAGAGCATATCACAATTGGATTATGCTCGTGTGTTGGGTTGCTTAATGTACATCATGAATTGTACACGACCAGATATAGCTTGTGCTATAAGTAAATTGAGTCGATATACGAGCAATCCAGGCCAATCTCATTGGATGGCCATGAAACGAGTTTTGGGGTATTTAGTACATACCCAGGACTTTGCTTTGCATTACAATAAATATCCTGCGGTCATTGAGGGATACTGTGATGCAAATTGGATCACCGGATCAACTGATTCCAAGTCCACAAGTGGATATGTATTCACTATTGGTGGAGGAGCGGTATCTTGGAAGTCATCCAAACAAACTTGTATTGCCCGCTCTACAATGGAGGCTGAGTTCATAGCCTTGGATAAAGCCGGTGAAGAAGCTGAATGGCTCCGGAATTTCTTGGAAGATATTCCATTTTGGCCCAAACCGTTGGCACCAATATGCATACATTGTGATAGTCAAGCGGCAATTGGAAGGGCTGGGAGCGTTATGTATAACGGTAAGTCTCGCCATATACGACGAAGACATAAAACCGTTAGACAATTACTCTCTAGAGGAATTATCACGATTGACTATGTAAAGTCAAGTGATAATGTGTCGGATCCACTTACAAAAGGCCTAACTAGAGAGGTAGTTGAGAAGTCATCAAGGGGAATGGGACTGTGGCCGAGAACAAGTCATAGTGGCGGTAACTCTACCTAGAAGACTGGAGATCCCAAGATCTAGGTTCAAGGAGATCAAACAAAGTCATTTATGACGGTTCAACATTGTCAACTAAGCTTTTGGTCCATTCTCGTGATGAGACAATGTTCAGTACCAAGGATAAAGCATTAAGGCTTTTTAATGATTTCTAAATTTGATACGGGGTATATCAAATAGTGTATCTACGGGATGACACGTTTAGGAATCACCTATGTAAGTGTGAAGTGTTAGCCGCTTCAAGGAGAACATTGTAAGGCCAGTTCTCTACGCACTTATGAAACCAGGCGGTGTTCATGGCTGAAACGAACACAACAATGAGAACCAAAGACGGTTAAGGGTTGGTTGTGTTACTTGTTTGTATAGGTATACACTAAAGTTCGACGGTTCAAAGATATCAAATCTACCGATTGATCGAGTATATCCGACATAAGTTCACTACGGAAAGTTCAAAGGGAAACCTACTTATCCAGATACAATTAATCCTTACTTGCGAATCACACAGTTTTTCATGCATACTTTCGTGATATAGCCATTCCCCATTCATGTGAGGGATTGTTGGGTTTTGGGTGTATTTAATTAATATATTAAATACTTAAAAGAGGGTGAATGGGAAATGGAGGGAAATGAAATTTTTGAGTGAAATTTTAAGTTCCCCCCTTGGCAAATGGGCATTGTCCCATATTGGAAGAGGAAGAGGTTTTTTATGGGTATATAGCAATTGCTCTTCTTCTAGCTCTTAAAGAGTTGAGAAGGCAAGCCTCGCGCCGTCGTCGTCGTCGCTACGGCTTCAGCTTCGGCTTCGGCTTCGGCTTCGGCTTCGGATTTGGATTTGGATTTGGATTTGGTCAAATGATCGATTGATTGATTAACTTTTTGGACCAAATTTATTTGTTAATAGTAAATATTAATAGAAATATTATTAAATATTTGTTTTAATAACAAAATATTAATATTAAATCCAATCCGTTTTTCTGTTTTGGTAACAGAAAAGTAACTACCCTCTTCAATTTTCCCTCTTTATTTTCCCTCTTTATTGTTGAGTAAATGGCCATTTATGTAATGGCATTTATGCTGTGGGCGTTTTGCATAAACAACCATTCTGAAGAGTTGCACCTCTTCAGATTTCAGCCCAACTTTGGCTATAAATGCAACACTATTCTGCTCAGAATTTTACTACGATTTTCTGAGTTTCTTCTCCTTCTTCTGCATACTTTTAGCATCAAACAAAGCAAAAAGTAAGTGTGATTTGCTACCGAACTTTGTATTCGCTGAAACGCTGGGGTTTGAAGTACCACTACACCAGTGTGTAATTCGTTCTATCCTGGGAGGAAATAATCCATAACCTTGGGTACTAGGAGGGGATTAAATTCCTTAAGGAAACACTGTGAATTCAGTGGGCTCGAATTGGTTTTATGTCATTTCTGTTTATGTTCATTTCTGTTTATATTCATTTATATTTCCAGAATTATTTTACAAATACAGTCTACTAACACACCATTAAGCATACCTACTACCTAGAAATGTAATTATATGTACATGTTACTAAAATACTACTCCTTCCGTTTCAATTAGACACGGATTTTAAGAAAATAAGAAAAACTTTTAAAACTTATGATATAAACATGTCATAATATTTGTTTGACTCTAAGACTTTTCAAGTCCGTGGCCTTAAACATATCATGACAAAGATAAATAAAAACTTGTTAAGGGTAAAGTTTTCCTAAAATTATTTTTTTAAATTAGAAAGTTGTCATTCCTTTCGGAATGGACTAAGAAGAAAATACTGTCACATGTAACAGCATGGAGGGAGTACTTAATAGGTGATGCTTCCGTCGTTCAAACTTGAAAATAGTTCTTCCTCCGTTCCAATTTATGTGAACGTGTTTGACTAGGCACAGAGTTTAAGAAAAAATGAAGACTTTTAGAATTTGTGGTCCTAAAGAAGTCACAAAGGGGCCCAAAGTTTTTGTGTGGTTATAAAAGCTTCTCATTAAGGGTAGAATTGTAAGTTTAAGCTAAATTGTTACCAAATTTAGAAAGGTGTCATTCTTTTTGGAACGGACAAAAAATGAAATAGGCTCACATAAACTGGAACAGGGGGAGTAACAAATTCAGTTAACAAGACGAGAAAAATCAAGTCCTTAAGCTGCACGTTTCTTGGATCAACTGCCCCAGCGGCCAGTAATAAAATCTCAAGATACTTGGTCCCCCTTTCCCATGCAATATCAATGAAGAGGGTAATCGTACTTGAGATGCAATTCCTTCGCATGGGCTTGTTTTTCTTAACCTTCAGCTGTTTGGCCTTGAGTCGTTGACCTTGGAGTTTTTAGGTGATGATTTACCCATTGGGGTAACAGACAGCAATAAAGCTTTTTGTTCAGACCATCATCCATTGCAGGAAGTAAACTACCATGTTATTTCTACTCTATTATAGAAAAATATATCAATTCTTTTACGGCAGAAACTGCTAGCTAGCTTATTCAAAACTTATGTGCATATGAATCATTTTATGCTTATTTAAAAGGAAAAGATAAACAAGCTAGAGATAAACCTATCTTCAAAAGTAAGAACTGTGAAAACTGCATTAAGTTTGTAAAGTGGTAGTAGGTTTGTCAATAGGTTAGATTCGAGATACGACAATTCGTTAGCAAGATTACAGCCATATGACCATTTAGGCTCACCAACCGCCTGTGTCTCACTAGCCATTGACAAACATTTAGTAGGAAGTATGAGTTGTGACTAATGTGGTTATAAATTGAATGTGCCTTGATAACTGCACCCGGTTCCATACCTTGGTATGGCTTCTCTTGATCATTTAAATGAACTAGTTATTACGCATTGAATCTGCCTTCCTAGCTTTTTTACGATTTCAACTGTTTGAACCATTATAAAAGACAGCAAAAATTAGCCGAAGCAATGCAATATATACATCAAATGTCCTTCCTTACTGTTGACAAAATGGAGACTTATTCCTCTACTATCAACTTTGTTGCACTCCTCATGTTCTTATCCTTCCTTTTTTTCCTATTTGGCAAATGGAGAAAATCAGAACAACAAGAGTTGCCTCCAGGTCCATGGAGACTCCCACTTATTGGAAGTATCCATCACTTAAGAGGAGCATTTCCACATCGCACTCTTAGAAAGTTAGCAAGAAAGTATGGGCCTATCATGTATTTCCAACTTGGAGAAATTCCTGCAGTAGTCATATCATCACCTAATGTGGCAAAAGAAGTTCTAAAAATTCACGAACATGCCTTTGCTGCTAAACCACAACTAACATCCATAAATATCATTACTTACAATGGTAAGGACATCGCATTTGCACCATATGGTGACAATTGGAGACAAATGCGTAACTTATGTGTTACAGAACTCCTAAGTGCCAAGATGGTTAAGTCTTTTAGTTCAATTCGGAATGATGAGATTTTGAGTCTCGTTTCATCAGTTCATTCCATGAATGGTTCTGTTGTTAACATAACAGAAAAAATTCTTCGGTTTACAAACTCTGTGACATGTAGATCAACCTTTGGAAAAGTAGACAAATATCAAGACGAGTTGATCAATTTGTTGAGGGAAGTACTGGATTCATTAGGAGGATTTGATGTGGCTGATTTGTTCCCTTCTTGGAAGTTACTTCACAAGACAAGTGGGGTGAAATCGAGATTGTTAAAGCTGCATCAGAAGGTTGATGAAGCTCTGGAGAACATCATTAATGAGCATATTATGAATAGAGCACTTGGAAGTAAGGGAAATGGTGAGTTTGGAGGTGAAGATTTGGTTGATGTTCTCCTAAGAATTAAGGAAACCGGCGAACTTCAATTTCCAATCACAAATGATCATATAAAAGCAGTAATCTCTGTATATATTCTCCTTAACCATTTTAATTTGTACACTATTCTCATTGGATTGTCTATTACTATCTTAAATATGTACGAATCTGTTGTCTTTATTTGTATTTTTTTTTTTTGTTGAAGTAGGACATGTTTGCTGCTGGAACAGAAACTTCAGCTGCCGTTATTACTTGGGTATTATCGGAAATGATGAGGAACCCAAAAATTATGGCCAAGGCACAAAGTGAAGTGAGACAAGTCTTCAAAGGAAAGACAAGTTTTGATGAAAAAGATCTTGATAAATTATCATACCTAAAGCTAGTTATCAAAGAAACGTTGAGGCTACATCCTCCAAGTCCTTTTCTGCCTAGGCAATGTATGAAACAAACATATATTGGTGGATATAAAGTACCTCCCAAGACCAGAGTACTAATCAATTCATGGGCACTTGGAAGAGATCCAGAAAGTTGGCATGACCCTGAGAGTTTTATACCCGAGAGATTTGAAAATTCTTCTGTTGACTTTATGGGAAATCACTTTCAGCTTATTCCATTTGGTGCAGGAAAAAGAATTTGCCCAGGAATGCAATTTGGTTTAGCCAATGTTAAACATCCTTTGGCTCGGCTCCTCTACCACTTTAACTGGGCGCTTCCATATGGAACTAGTCCAGAAGATCTAATTGAAAAGGATGGATTAAGTGCAGCGAAACAAAAAGATTTGTGCTTAATTGCCATAGATTACAGAAGCGATGAATTTTTTTGATGTTGCGCTTTGAATGGTGAATGTTCATACCGTATATGGTGCTTCACCTCCTTTAGTTTGGTATATATTCGTGTCTCCCATTTATCGTTGAAGTTTAAGCTGAAAATGAGCAAAGAATAAGATTCACAGTTGGTTATACAATCATGTTTTTGGTCCACATTGATATCCCAGATTTAGTTGTAAAGATCAAATCAGATCCCTTATCGATTAATATAAATTTTGAAACTGATTAAGCAATTAACATGTAACTACTTCCTATCAGATCATTCCTATCATGAGATCAATAGTAGTAATATAGTTTTAACATGAATAAAGATCTATGTATGTGCTTGATCCTCTCAGGGCCTTGTTAGTGTTGGGGCATATACTATTAACCATGCATTTGGATATAGTATATTCTAATAATTGTCATGGTTAAAAGTCTAAGTGGGAGATTGTCGGGATATATACTATTAACCATGGGTTTGGTTTAAATATAGTATTTATTATGGAATAATTATTTATTCAATTTTAATAAAGTTTTAAATAAATCATATATTAGTCTGTGTCCTTTGCTTATATAGTAGATGATTTAGTGTATAGAGTTTACTTATACACGGAAGATTGAATCATCGGTTCTTATAAGTATAAAGTTTGAGTTCACAATCTAATGATGGAATTGGACAAACCATCATGGATGATTGTAGTACAAGATTAAATATAATTTATCTTGATTATGGGAGTGGTTTAATTCCAACTTCTTGTGCTAGTACATTTTGTATGTATTGAACAGACCAAGTAGAGATAAGTATTTTATACTGACTTAATAAAATAAACTCTGTAGCCATTAAATGTACTTATACTCTTAATCTTGATATAATTACTATTAGCTATGTACATTATTGTTGTTTTGATTTATTAAAAGGCGAGATTCTTTCATGGGTCAATATGCCTGGTAAATTGGATAATAATAATGTACATTGGCGAGGTAATACTTAGTTGATGGAATCCATGTCTCGGTTTAGAGATTGATAATACACCTTTATGAAAGCTGATAAGTTTCCATGTGTAAACACGGCCGGTGGATTTTGTATCCGACACATGAAATAAGTTAAGCGAAAATCTAAAGGAAATAATCAATAAATTAAATCGTCAGTAATTTAATTTAATTGATTAGTATCTGAATCTTAACATGGGTAGTTAAATAAGATTTAATGGATGAATTTCGAAATTGAATAAGGAGTGCAATTACGAATTTTTAGTGCAATAATGCGTAAATAATTATGGCGGATATTAATTTTGAAAATTTAAAATTAATTCCATAACTATAAGCCTTGTTAATCAAATTTTATGGTCCCTGTTATGCCTAAATAATAGAAAATAAAGGAATCATTTTTCTGGTGGAAAAGAAAACCCAACAGGTTTTGGAAAAAAGGTTTTAACCCTTAGAAACTTGTGCTATAAATACATAAAGTTTTCCACCTAGAGGGATGAGAGATGGTGGCCGAAATTTTCAGCCATTTTTCCAAGAAAATTTCGTCCACACGAAATTGCTATTTTCGGATATTATTTGGGTAACACAGTAGAAGACCGTGGAACGTTCGGAGATCGTGATCGTGCGGGTGATGGGGATTTCGTCGAATTGTTGTGGAATTGGAAGCTCACGTGATAGAGGAGCTTTGTCCACGCTTCAAGAGGTAACCCGTGAAATTCCGTTTATACTAGTTGTCTAAATTACATGTAATTTTGATATTGTGATTGCTTTCACTGCATATAATGATCCATCAGTTAGGACTCTACATGATGGTGAATTATATCTAACCAAGTCAACCAAAAGTGAAAATTTATGCTTTAATTTGGCAACCCAATACCAAACTAGCAAAGTCCATTTGAAGATTATTAAGATACTTTGAACAAAATGGTAGAACTATAACTTCTTATTCAGATATGGTGGCTGTAAATTGACCTATATAAAAAATTACCAGATTGATCCAAATTTCTGCATTAAATACTTCAAGCTCCAAATTGGAGCATCAGACAAACTTGCGATTACTATTATTCCTCTATAAAAGAAAATAAATTTTGCTTGTTACCGAACAATAATTCGAAAAAGCCACACCCACATCGCCTATCCCCTGTTTTGATGAGATACAGAATGAGATGAAGGCAAAAGAACATAGGGCTCTAGCTTCTTCAGTTGATAGAGAAGAAGTGTTCGATAAAATTAAGAAAATGAGCCCTCTTCCGTTAATACCTATGTCTGTAAAAGAAAAGGAATTAAAAGGTATTGGGCCTTCAGAGCAGACCACTTCAACTCAGCCCAACAAGAATAAAGGGTCAACTCAGCCCAACAAGAATAAAGGAAGGAAGCCCAATGTTGCTTCTACATTCCCCAGCCTGATAAAAGATAGATAAGTTTATTGCCTAGTTTCTTCTAGAAATAGTACACGTGTTTATAGAGAATAATTTCTGACATTGGAATTATAAATTAGTTATAGTATAGTCAATAAGAGATAGGGCAGCTGGAGTTAGTCATTAGAGAAAGTTTCTTTCTTATTTGTATATAATAGGAACATTTGTACAGTTCTTTTACAACAAGAAAATATACAGCATACAAAATTCTCTCAGATTTCTCTAAAATCCTACATGGTATCAGAGCTTTAGGTGCTCTTTCTCTCATTTTTTTTCATGGCTCCTTCCAATGATGAACAAACACCTTTGTGCTCTTCTACTTCTGCAAATTTTGCTGTCATGGATTCATCTAATCCTTACTATCTTCACCCCTCTGATTCACCAGGAATGGTGTTAGTAAATACACTTTTTGATGGCAAGGGATATGCTGGATGGAGTAGGGTCATAGTGATTGCCCTTTCAGCCAAGAATAAACTTGGTTTTATTGATGGTTCTTTTCCAGAACCTGCTGCAGATTCAGCTCAGTATAGGGCTTGGAGCCGATGCAATGACATGGTCATATCGTGGATCCTCAACTCCCTTTCAAAGGATATAGCTGAATTTGTGCTCTAGTCGAAAACTGCAAAAAGAAATCTGGAAAGATTTAGCTACCAGATTTGGACAGTGCAATGGTGCACAGCTATACCAACTTCAAAAAGAGTTATCAAATGCAGTCCAGGGTGCTTCAGACATAGCAGGTTATTTCACAAAGGTTAAGAAGGTCTGGGATGAACTTGATGCTTTAAACACTTTTGATCACTGTACCTGTAAGTGTATCTGTGATGGTAAGTTAAAAACCATGAAATCACATCAGGATGGAAGGCTTATACAGTTTCTTATGGGGCTCAATGAAGCTTACTCAGGTGTAAAGAGCAGCATCTTAATGATGGATCCCTTGCCCTCAGTCCATCATGCCTACTCTTTGCTCATTCAAGATGAAAAACAACGAGAAGTGCATGTGACATCGCATCCCACTCAAGCAGCTTTCATGGTGTCCAACCATAAGTTCACTGGAGGACAGAAGTCTACAAACACACAAAAATTCAATGGAGGATTCAGAATAAATTCTGAGAAATAGAAAGGAGGAAAGTTCTGCACCTATTGTAAGATGACTAATCATGTTGTTGAAAATTGTTACAGGATGATTGGTTTTCCACCAGATTAAAAGTTCACCAAAACCAAAGAGGTTTCAAGCATCAGCACACAGCAATGCATCAGTTGTTGATAAGGGTGCACTGTGGGCCGGGCCCAGCCCGGGACCGGACCGGGACCGCGGGCCAAACGGGCCTATTGGGCCGGTCTCAGTGGGTCGGTCCCAAATGGTACTCCAAGCCCATAGCGGGCCAGTCTTGTACATTTAGCCCACGAGCCCGGGACCGGCAGGCGGGCCTGGGCCGGTTCAACCGGGCCTAACGGGCCTCAACGGCTATAATTTAAAAAAAAAAAATTAAAAAAAATGACCAACGGTCAGATTTTAAAATCTAGCCGTTGGCCATCAAAAAAGAGCCGTTTGGGACTTTAAAAAATAGCCATTTGGCCCCAAACTTTATTTTAACCCCAAACTTTATATAGTTACACTTTTTCCCAATTCTCAACTATAAATACCCCCTCATTCTTTTATTTTTACTCACAAATTCATCAATCTCTCTCAATCTATATCTAATTCTCTTCTATAATTGCTTGTTTTATTATTATAATTTCGTGAAAAATTGTGAAGTTGGTGAATTGAAGTATTCAAGTCTTCAACGATTTTCAATTTTCAAGAAGTTGTTCGGCAATTCGGTAAACTCGTTCCAACTCTTAAGTTTTAAGAATATATTTTTGTGTGTTTTAGTTTGCATATTAATTTTTAAGGCTAATTAATATGGCATTTTATTTGAAAAAAATATTTGGTGGTAAGGAAAAATCTAAAATTGGTGAAAGTAGTCGCCAACCTACTACCCTTCCCCCGGCTCCCTGACCCAGACCTGTTACCCGTCCTCCTGCACCTATTATTCTTGATAGTGATAACCCTTGTTTTCAATTTTCCGATAGTGAATTTTGCCATAATGTTGCACCAGGTCAACAATTAAATGATGAAGTTATGAATGCTCTTTATCCTAATGAAACTATTTTTGAAAATGATAATGAAAATGATGATGTAGATGAAACCCAACCGGATTTAGATGATACACCTACTAGTCCTATTAATAACCCAACTGATGCCCCGCCCGACCCACCTGTAGAAAATCCTACTTTTAATAGACAACCTTCTAAACGCCCCGAAACATCACTTGTTTGGAATTTTTTTACTCAATTAAGAGAACAAAATAAGGCTAAGTGTAAAACTTGTGGGAGTTTGCTGGCGCATAAATTTACTGGAGACCGTAGCGGTACGGGTAGTTTGGCTAGGAACATAAAAATACACCCTAGAGATAAAGCTAATTTTTTTCAAATGAAAGCGCAGCTAGAGGGGACAGGTGTAGATACTACGGTTAACCCTAGTACAGGTTCAAATCTAGTTCAACCAGGAATTAACACTGTGACCGGTGGTATTTTATATTACGATCCAAATAAAGATCGTGAAGAATTAGCAAAGATGGTTACCGTTATGTGCTTACCCTATAGTTTTCCTTCTAACCCTAATTTTGTGCATTATATTAGAAAAGTTTTTAATCCTACTTATAAAGGTTGGCCTCGCGCAACCATAAAGAGCGATATTTATAAATATAAACATTAGCGATATTTGTAGATATTTTTGCATTAGAGATAAAATAATGGCAATTTCTATGGATAATGCTTCTAGTAACACTAATGCTATAGGCATACTTACAACAACACTAAATCCTGCATTTAGTAATTGTTTCCATGTTAGATGTGTTTGTCATATTTACCATTTAATCGTCGGTGATGGTATGAGAATTTTAAATTTAGAAACTGAAAAGGTTAAAATGGCTCTTAATTGGCTTTTTTATTCAAACCGTAGAAGTACTTAGAGAGTATTTTAAAAAATGTGATGAATTTGGCCTTAGAGAAAGAAAGGTTCTCAAGGTGATAATTTTGATGAGACTTCACATCTAAATGAGCTTCAAGTTTATTTGTCGCAGGGACTCGAAAAGGAGAATCCAGACGGCACCTTTGATCTTTTGGAATGGTGGAAGGCAAGAGAAAAACATTTTCCGGTTCTTGCAAGGATGGCTCGGGATATTTTATGTATTCAAGCTTCAACAGTGGCATCAGAGAGCGCTTTCAGTCAAGCAAGACTTCAAATAGGTGATCAGAGAGCGTCTATAAGGGAGAGCTTGGAAAAATCAGTACTATTCAGAGATTGGATCCGCTCGGAAAGAAGAAACTTTGGACTTGCAGAATCACAACCGAAGATAGACGAAGCTTATGAAGAAATGATAGCGGAACTTGCGGAGGATGCTGCTTCGCCCGGAAGCGGTGATGAACAAGCTTCTTTTCCGCCACCAACGGAACCTCCTTCGAACCTTGAAGGATTTATGAAATTTGCTAGAGATACTATGTAGATTATGGTGTAACTTGTACTTTGGCACATCTTCTTTAGTTTTTTTTCCTTTTAATGGTGGTATTAGCACCTTGTTATGCTCATTCCATTGGGGGGAGGAAGACTAAGAAAGATATGCCATTTTTGTTAATAAAAATTATAAGACATTCCCTTGAATATCTCTTTGCAATATTTTTTTGTCTTTAACTTGCAATTCTATATAAGCTATAATATACTAACATACTATATATACTACAAGACATTACAAAAAAATTATATAAGGAAATATATATACATAATATACTATATATACTACATAATATATATATATATATATATATATATATACATATATATATATATATATATATATATATATATATACTACATATATATATAATTATATATACATACTATACATATTATATATACTATATATATTTATATAGCCATGTATAAGCAATTTATATTAGTATATACATATATGGTTTACAAGAAATTGCCTTAAATAAAAAAAAAATTAAAAAAAATAGCCCGAAAAGAAAAAGCCCGTTAGGGCCGTGTGGGCTCGTGGGCCTGACCCATTTAGCCCGGGACCATGTGGGCTTAGGCCCGTCGTGGGCCGGTTCCACCTGTTGAGCCCGTGAAGCCCGGGACCGTTAGGCCCGGCCCGTTTGGCCCATTTAGGCCCGGGCCCGGCCCAGAATACAACATTAGTTGTTGAGACTGAAGCAAACAACATACAGTCCATTCAGGAAATGGGAGCAACTTCTAATGCAAATGCCATAACTCAAGAACAGTTTTCACAGTTGTTTCAGTTACTTCAAGAGGTGAAGGTTGGCCAACAAAATGAACAGAATTCTGATGCCAATGTCTCTACCAACTGTGCTGGTATCATTACACCTCTTTTAGACCCTAATACTTTTTCACTATCTTGTCATACTAGCTCACATTCATGGATACTTGACTCTGGAGCTTCAGAACACATGACCTATGACAGAACCATTTTGAAAAATATTACACCCCTTTTAGCAGCATTGTATGTTAATTTGCCAAACTCACATAGACTAAAGGTCACTTACAAAGGCAGTGTAACAGTCCTATCTGATCTTGTTCTGCATAATGTGCTTTTTGTACCTGATTTTAGGTTCAATCTCCTCTCAGTCCACAAGTTCACTACTCAGCTGAGTTTTTTTTTATTGATTTTTGCTTCCTTTGGTGCTATATTGTAGGCCCCTTCAATGAATAGGCCAGTGGTTCTTGGTGAAGTTAAGGAAGGTGTCTATCTACTCAAGTCAGCTCCACTCAAGCCTAGCACATTATCAACCAAAATCTAGCCCAGTTCTTTTTCAGTTTCTCCTAAAGCAGTTTTTACAGATAGAATAGTGTCCAAGTCTGTTTGTAATAGCACTATTAGTAGTGGCACTTCTCAGTTTTCTTCTAGTAGTAAAACTAGTCCTAGTTCTGTTTCTCCTAATGTAAGCCTATGGCACAAAAAATTAGGGCATATGCCTTTTACTAGTATGAAGAGTATTTCAAGTTTTCATTTGCCATCTATTAGCAATTCTGATCATCATTGTGAAGCTTGTTCTAAGGCTAGACAAGCAAAACTTCCTTTTCCTCTCAGTACTATCTCTACCAAATCTATTTTTGAACTCATTCATGTAGATATTTGGGGACCCTAAAAAGCCAATACACATGATGGTTATAGATATGTTCTTAAAATTATGGATGACTTTAGTAGGGGTACATGGACCTACTAGCTTAAAACCAAAAGCAATGCATTCACCATTCTCAAATTTTTTCTAGCCATGGTAGAAAAGCAATTCAACACAAAAGTTAAGATCATTAGGTTTGATAATGCAAAGGAACTGGGATCTAGTCTGTCTCATTCAGATTTCTTAGCCACTCATGAAATCATTCACCAAACTACTTGTGTTGGTACACCACAACAGAATGGGGTCGTCGAAAAAAAAATACAAACATCTTCTAGAAACTTGTAGGGCACTTCTTTTTCAATCCCATTTGCCTTTTTGTCCTACTGGGGAGCGTGTTTGTTGACTGCTACTTATCTCATTAGTAGATTCCCTTCAAGAGTGTTCAATTTCAGATCACCTTATGAAGTTTTGTTTGGCAAGGCTCCTTCTTATGAGAATCTTACATGTTTTGGATGTTTGTGCTATGCCTCTACCCTATCTCATCTCAGAGCAAAGCTTGATCCAAGGGCAGTGAAATGTGTATTCAATGGTTACCCTTTCAATCAAAAAGGTTATAAACTGCTGGATTTGGACAGTCATAAAATTTTTGTTTCTAGGGATGTCAAGTTTCATGAAAACATTTATCCTTTCTCTACTCTTCCTGCCAATCCTACAATTTTTCCCACCTCTGACACTTTCTTGCATGATACACCTGGTGATCTACCTTCTTTTCCTCCTAGTTCACATCCATCTTCTCCTATTGCTTCTGTCTCTCCTAGCTTAAGGTCGCTTTCATCTCCTACCCCTACACCTGTTTCTTCAAGGCTCACTTCCGGCATTCATTCACCTTCTATTTCTTCACCTAGAGTGTCTAGTCCCTCTTTCACTCCTGTGTTTTCTCCAACTCCTTTGCCTGCACTTAGAAAATCAACAAGAGTCTCAAATCCCCCTCCTTATTTGGCAGATTATGTGTGCAATGCTGTTTACCTAACTGATCTTACTTCTGCTTGTTTTGCAGTTTCTCCCCCACCTCCTATATTGCCTTTTTCTGCTCTTTCTCATTCTAATCAGTCACTTCTTAGTTCTATCTTACATATACAAGAACCTACCACTTTTTCCCAAGCCTCCCTACACCCCTGTTGGCAGGAGGCTATGGCTAATGAATTTGAAGCTTTGGAGGCTAATCAAACTTGGGAAGTGGTGGAACTGCCTAAAGGACATAGAGAACTACCTTGCAAATGGGTGTAAAAATTGAAGTATAAAGCAGATGGAAGTATTGAACGGTTTAAAGCTAGACTAGTAGTTCGAGGGGATACTCAACGAGAGGGAATTGATTACACAGAAATTTTTTCCCCCGTGGTCAAGATGACCACTGTGAGGTGCCTTTTGGCAGTAGCAGTAAAGAAAGGTTGGGATTTATTTCAATTAGATGTTAATAACGATTTTCTTCATGGTGACCTACAGGAAGATGTATACATGCAATTTCCAGCAGGCATGAAGCCTCCTACCTCTCATCATGTTTGCAAATTAAAGAAGTCATTCTATGGGCTCAAGCAAGCCTCTAGGCAATAGTATGCCAAGCTCACTGCTGCTTTAAGTTTCAAAGGATTCTCTCATTCACTCAATGACTACTCTCTATTTTTTAAGAAGACACCCAAGGGAGTTTGCATTCTTGCAGTCTATGTCAATGATATTCTTTTAACAGGAGATGACTTTACAGAAATGGCATTATTAAAGGTTTTTCTTCATTCAGAGTTCAAGATTAAAGATCTAGGACATGCTCATTTTTTTCTAGGTATGGAAATTATCAGAGAATCACAAGGTTTGATTGCTACACAGAGAAAGTTTACCTTTGAACTTTTATCCGAGTTTGATTGTTTTGACAAAAGACCTGGCTTCCCCGCTTGAACCTTCCACAAAATTGCGCGCTGATGTTGGTGATTTGTTGCCGGATCCCACAATTTATAGAAGACTACTGGGGAAATTGAATTTCTTGACTCATACATGCCCAGATTTGTCCTTTGCTGTGCAGCATTTGAGCCAATATATGCAGACTCCTCGACAACCTCATCTTAATGCATCACTTCATTGTCTCCGGTATCTATTATCCAATCCGGGTCTTGGTTTATTTTTTCGGACAAACTCCTCTTTCAAGCTTTCAGCTTTTTGTGATTCAGATTGGAGTTCCTGTTCGGAAAATCGTCGCTCTGTCAGTGGATATTTCATCAGTCTTGGTGGTTCTCCTGTGTCTTGAAAATCTAAAAAACAACCTATCATTTCCCTTTCGTCCGCTAAAGCTGAATACCGCTCTATGCGTCGCGTGGTTGCCGAAAACACTTGGCTTGTTCGACTACTTTCCGATCTCATTGTTTCTCCTTCACTTCCGGTACCTCTTCACTCCGACAGTCAGGCAGCCATCTATATTGCCAAGAACCCGGTGTTTCATGAAAGAACCAAGCATGTAGAGCTTGATTGCCATTTTGTTCGCCAACAATTTCTCGCCGGACTAATTTCCCTCAACTTTATTCCTTCTGCTTCTCAAATAGCTTATGTCTTTACTAAACCCTTGGCTGGTTTTCATCATCAACAACTCATCGACAAGTTGGAGGTTGTTTCTCACCCCTCCAACTTGGGGAGGGGGGGGGTGATGAGATACAGAATGAGATGAAGGCAGAAAACATAGGGCTCTAGCTTCTTCAGTTGATAGAGAAGAAGTGTTCGATAAAATTAAGAAAATGAGCCATCTTCCGTTAATACCTATGTCTGTAAAAGAAAAGAAATTAAAAGGTATTGGGCCTTCAGAACAGACCACTTCAACTCAGCCCAACAAGAAGGGTCAACTCAGCCCAACAAGAATAAAGGGAGGAAGCCCAATGTTGCTTCTACAATCCCCAGCCTGATAAAAGATAGATAAGTATATTGCCTAGTTTCTTCTAGAAATAGTACACGTGTTTATAGAGAATAATTTCTGATATTGGAATTACAAATTAGTTATAGTATAGCCAATAAGAGATAGGATAGTTGGAGTTAGTTATTAGAGAAAGATTCTTTCTTATTTGTATATAACTAGTATACGTACCCGCGCGATGCGCAGATAATTCTAAAGAAAAAGCAATGCATTGTAAGATGTGCGAATTAAAGTAAAGAACCTAAAAGCACTTCTTATTAAACAATATTTTAGTACAACAAAATTGGTCACGATCTTTAGGAGAACAATATTTTAGTCTAACAAAATTAATATTTAGGACTCTACAATATGTGCAATAAAAGGACAACATGCCATTAGCTTGATTTTATCACACAAAAGAAAAACAAATAAAAATTACAAATTCACCAGCAAATCATTTTCACTCCAAGCTCCATCCTTCATCTTGAATAGGATTCTAAGTAGTTGCAATTGAACCACTCTTTTCAAACCAACTTACATGAACTCTTCTGCCTTGTGCTGGAAACTTCAGTCCATTAAATGAATTAATATAATCATCAAAGTCCAAGGTTGCATCATATTATAAACTAATTTTGTATAAACTTGTTTACATTATCAGCCTTCCTCAACCAGATTGCTACATCACTTTATGCTTCATAAATTATCAACGTGTTGCAAACACCTAATCCTCATATTTTTCAACTAAGACTAATTTCTAAACGCATACGACATAATACAAATACACATAAAATAAGAAAGGATACATTGTCAAATTTGACGCTAAAGACGAAAGAGGATAAATGGACAAATTATGTACGTTTATTTTAAAAACAATATGGGTGACTACATATACCTTCAGAGCCTTATTTTCGTTTCAGGATGCAATTAGCTCGCTAACTTGTCGTATGAATCATACAACCACTATTTACTAAGTGTCTATGGGATGAGTAGATAATACAAAAGGAAATTAACTATTCATCCTAAGTTTTTCCCACTAATGATAGATGCGTATTCACCCTTTGTACTGTTCAAGACTATCCAAACCTGCATAAAAATTTATAAGATGCAGATCTATAAGAAAATATTTATACTTCAATTGAAAGGCGACCGTAGTATCATTTTAACCACCAATTCACAAATTAAAATTATTTCATGTATCATAATAATCCATCTCATTAAATGTGTAAACATTGGAGACAAACACAAAGAACAGTCATCACATGGAGTAACAATAATTATCCATATGACCAAGTAAATTATAACAAAATTTCATACATAAACTCAATTATAATACATTTTACATAAAGAAACTCAATTTTAATATATTTTAAATAAAGCACACCATTCTCGACAAAAATTTATAACAGAAACTCAATTATAATACATTTTACAAATTCTAAACTTACAGGTCTTGTTAGAGCAGCTGCATACAAATCACCAGATTTGGCAGAATTGTAAACAATACAGGTATATCTATAAAGGATGATAAGTGATTATTGCGAAAAAAGAGTAGTCTATTAATCAAAACTTTAAGATATTCCACACACATAATTAACAAAATTCAACAACTGTAGCGACATAGAAACCTTGAGTAATAGCTCTCATGATCAGTGGATTCCACAGAGTATTCCTTATCGACAAAGTTTTTTGTTTTCGCCTGCTTGTTTTGCTCAAGTACGTCCTGCTGGGGTAAATGCAACACCCCATTTTCTGCATATTTGAATTTCATAACTTGCTAAGTTACTGTAAATAGTATTATACGACATAGAAACCTTTAAAAATGTATATTAATTTTGAACTTACCAGATTATTCTAAAAACAATATGAGTTTTGAAACTGAAATTTTGCATTAAACGCATATTATGCAAAGAAAAAACTGAAAGAAATCTTGACAGACCGTATTCAATACCATCAATAGTAACAGTAGCAACGACAATAGATGGAAACAAAGGCAAATAGCGCACAGTACTTTTGAGAACTGATGAGATTTCAACTTTCAAATTTATTTTCTCTAATCTCTCAACAAAAGCGAAAGAAGATAATTACAATTAAAATAATAATTTATGATGCAATTCTAATTATAACTTGGGCATACCAGAAGAAGAGAAAAAATTGTCCCCCGAAGTTCCTGTGATCCAATAGATTTTTGCTCCGGCTTCGATGAATCCCAAAAAGGGAAAACCCCAATATAACGCCTGCTATGGAACAATTAAAAATAGGAATTTCATACAAAGATACATGATGTAAACATGAAACTTTATACCTTCAAATCTTTCTCACGGACAGTAAAACTTCTTCTCCTTTGTTAATTTTTTCTCTGTCTTGAGTACCAGTGCAGTTGGAACTTGAGGCGTTTGGAATTGAAAATTATGTGTTTGGTTGAAACGGCAGGTGAAATGTGAAGGCTTTTTGGCTTGAAAGGGTACTTAAAAAGATTGTAACTGTTAGCCTTATATATCTCCTTATTATTAGGACTTATAACTGTAATTAAATGTAAACTTTTAAAATTTGATAATAATTATTTGATTATTCTTAACGAAAAACGTCTTAGTTTCCAACTCTAGTGAATAAATGAAATAACTGCCGAACATGGAAGGCAATTCGTATTCCTTTTTTTTGTGAATGATGACTGTTTTTTTTGTGTGTCTATTTTATAGTTCTAGTTCAAATTTTAAATTTCAAACTAACTCCAACTTTATTGGAGATGTGTCTTAAAAAATGACAGTTGTTGAATTGTAGTTATGCCACTTGGCATCATTACATTCTTTTGCTTCTCCTTTTATATATATATATATAGATATAGATAGGAACATTTGTATAATTCTGTTACAACAAAAAAATATACAACATACAAAATTCTCGCAGATTTCTCTAAAATCCTACATGTTTATTATAGATCGACAATATAAAAATTCAAGCAGATATGCGGACCAGTGACCCAGAATAGGCATTGGTGAAATTTTCATCAATTCGACACAGAAACAACACTAGATCTGAGAAATATCAATAATTAACGACGAATTTCTGCAGGAAACCTAAGATTACCTGGTGATGATGAGGGAGAGAGGCTTGCTCTATTCTGCGGCGGTAGAGGGAATATTTTGCCGGGATTTAAATTCGAGGGAGAATAAATTCTCGAAATAAATTGGAAGGAAAATTTTAATTCCCTTTACCGACTTTTATTGACCATTTAATGACCAATGCTTTGATTCAGTAAGAGGAGCATTCTTTCCTGCAACTTCTTAAATGCCGTCAATAATTTGTGTGCTGCAATTGGTTTTATTGCCATTAAACAAATTTTATGTTTAAAATGGTTTTAAGAAGATAGAAAAGAACATTTAAAGAACAACCTCATAATTTTTTTTTGTACAAACATAATCATTACATTTTAAAAAAAAAATAACTTCCTATAAAATCGTTGTTTATTTTCAAAAGTAAATCCTAGTAATGTATCATAAATAAAATTTTCGCATGCAGCGCAACAGGAGCAGCTTGAAAGGAGAAAAAAGATGGGGCCCAGTTAACAGAGATCTGTCCCTTTCATTTTCTTTGAATATTCAGAAGTAGCCACCAGAGGAAGTGTCGATATAATTTTCTTTGTTGATGGAATTGCCAAACTTAATTTAACAAATACTTCTTTCATCATCAGTGTAAGTGTCCATATAATTTTCTTTGTATGTGGAGTTGCCAATTTGAATTTAACAAATGTACATCACCATCAGTGAAAGTGTCCATATCATTTGCAACTTGATGTTAATCTTTTTTTATTGTTGTTAAAATTTAAATACGAACAGGCTAGGCGAGAGAGAGGAAGGCTCATGACTTGGACCAAGTGAAGTGCATCAAATACCAAGAAGGTAAAGTACTGTTGGAGGAGGCACATATTAAAATAAGATGGCAGACATACTTTCATAAACTTTTGAATGAAGAGGGAGACATGACTATTGCGCTAGGTGATTTGGAGCACTCCGAGAGCCAACGTGACTTTGGGTATTGCAGGCATATTAAGGTCAAGAAGGTGGAGGAGGCTATGCGCAAGATGGGCAGGGGAAAACCAACCGGACCGGACGAGATTCTGGTGGAGTTTAGGAAAAGCGCGTGTAGGGCAGGTTTGGAGTGGTTGACCAGATTGTTTCATGTCATTTTTAGTACGAAAATGATGCCCGAAGAACAGAGGTGGAGTATGATGGTCCCGTTATACAAGAACAAGGTTGATATTCAAAATCGTAACAACTATAGGGGCATAAAACTGCTAGGCCATACTATGGAGGTTTGGGAGAGGGTGGTGGAAACCCGGGTGAGAGGAGTGTGTCCATTTCCGAGAACTAATTCAAATTCATGCCGCGGTGATCGACCACGGACGCCATTCATCTGTTGAGGAGATTAGGGGATCAATATAGGGAGAGGAAGAAGGATTTGCAGTTTATTGACCTAGAAAAAATATACGACAAAGTCCCTAGGGAGGTTTTATGGAAATGTTTGGAGGCGAAAAGTGTACTTCTAGCATACATTAGGGCGATTAAGAACATGTACAATGGAGCCAAGACCCAGGTTAGTACAGTAGGAGGTGACTCAGGACACTTTCCTATCGTGATGGGGTTACACTAGGATTCAGCTCTTAGTCCGTTTCTATTTGCCTTGGTGATGGATGTATTGACGCGCCACATCTAAGGGGAGGTGCCGTGGCGCATGCTATTTGCATATGATATAGTATTGATTGACAAGACGCGAGGCGAGGTCAACACTGGGATGGAGGTTTGGAGACATACCTTGGAGTCTAAAGGTTTCAAGTTGAGCAGGATTAAGTGTCACGCCCCGAACCTGGGGAGGCGTGGCGGGCACCCGGTCCCATATTTGGCCCGAGCGTACCACTCTGTAACTGTGAACTCTGGAGGGATAGCCCTCAACTTAGGCCGATGAGGCCATACTCTCAATTATCTGAAAATATCATCTCTCTCATAAAAATACCCAAAAATAAATATATATATATATATATATATATATATATTATATATATATATATATATATATATAAATATATATATAACTGTACAAAATATACAGGACTTGTCTACAAGCCTCTAGCGATAGTTGAACAGTCGGGACAGGGCCTCGACCTACTAAGCAAACCTGCATATATAAAATGGACTCCAAGGTCTAGACCTGGTAACCCCGAGGAAGTGGAGCTTACCAACCAAGTTGATGTTTGACTCTGTCTACTATGAAGGTCAATCCAACTATCTATCAGGACATGCAGGCATGAAATGTAGCGTCCCCGGCAAAAGGGACGTCAATACAAAATTATGTACCGAGTATGTCAGGCAGCCGAATGACTGAAATCTGAAACTGAACTGATAATATAATAATTGAAAGTAACCAGGAGTCAAAGATAATATGAAGATATGCTTACCTGCTGATACTGACTCAACTCTCTCAATATAGCATGTAAAATAGTTGTTCGTCCCTATAAGGCTCGTTATGTGTAACTGCTCTGCCGTAGTAGACTCCCTCAAAGGCGCTCGACCATACTAAGGTCTGTATCTCGTCCATTCTGGGCTCGCTCATAGGCGCTCGGCCACAGTAGGCTTGGTATATAACTTTCCATCTGATCAGAAGTTACCCAATAGGGGCCTGCCCATCGATTATAGCTCGATGGTGGTGAAAATACTTTAACACTATATATATATAACCTACTACATAGTTGTAGTAGGTTAGCATTGTATGCACATTTGATATCTCTAAAATGTCCTTATTATTTGCTACCACCATATTAAGTTTAAGGACTTTTTTGTCCTTTTACAAAATTTCACATTTCATCTCTACATTTCCCAAAAGTAAACCCACCTTATGAGAATTCTTTCCAGTCAATTACCCTTCACCTCTCCCCTCTCTCGTCCTACCTGCAATTGAAGCACAAATCACAAAGATGAAATTGAAGAAATCTGAGCTTCCTCTTCTACTTTCAACATAATTTGGTAAAGCTTAATCTAAATCTTCCATGAATTTCACCTAAATTCTCCCATCTTCTTGTTCCTTTCAACTGAATGAAGTTTTTCATTTTGTAGATCTCTATGAATGTTCATCTCGTGTTCTTAGATTTTTAATACTATACAAGTAGAAAAACTTTTTAACAGTCTTGTTATTCAGTGATCGAAGAATAACTAAAGCTGAATCTAAAATTAGTTGAAACAATAATGGTGGGTTCTATCGAATAAAATCAAATTGAATAATTGCTGTATTTAAACAAATCTACAAAAAGCTTACACCATGATTCTGACACCGAAATAAGAGAATTTGAATATTAAACTCCTACCTTCATAACAATAAAACCCCTTTTAGAATTTGAGAAGAACAATGGCGGGAGAAGAAAAATAGAGGGGAAAATATTTCTCGCTAGCTGGAGTGTGGGAAATGTAGAGATGACTGTGAAATTCTATAAAAGGAAAAAAATATCCTTAAATATAATATGGTGGTAGCAAATAATAAGGGCATTTTGGAAATATCGAATGTGCAATACAATGCTAACTTACTACAACTATTTAGTAGGTTAGCAAAAACCTATATATATATATATATATATATATATATATATATATATATATATATATATATTCTCTACACTATTGGCTGAAAGAAGACAAAACTAAACTGAATACGAATGCCCGATAATGGAAAATGCTGTAACTTATGAGACAGGGACAATGTACATGAATTTAGGAATATGAACTTCTCTTTATGTCTCGTTACCAAACACATGTAGTTACTGGATCATGCCAAAATGAAGGAAAGGTTTAGCCTTAACATGCCTCAATTCGTCAATTCAATTCAACAACAAGCTTACGACAACTAGCGCGCCAACCCTATAACAAAGAAACACATGTACAACTTAGATGGCGCTAGTATATCCCGTATCTCAAATGATAACTCGATTCTAAAATAAAACGGGCAGCATTTCCCCTGATTTTACTGCTCCCTCAAGCCTACTATAGGCGAGACAACAACACAATACAACCAGCAACTCAAAAGCAACCTAACTACAATTTGGGACCTTTAATACAATAAAAAACCCAAACATACCATAACACACCCAATCAACAAGTTATCAATTAACCTGAAATTGCAACAATGAGCGACCAGCCCACTACCCTAACACATGTGGCGTTTCTCCATGCACTTTATCCTTCCAAACTCCATATATCAGCAACACAATAGTCCAACACGAGTGGACTACAAAACACTCCACTAAAAGTGTTGAACTCATGGCTTCCGATCACCGTACTGTGAGTTTTAAATATTAGAAAACGAGTTTATCAACCTTCCTTGATAATTAAAAGCTTAAATACAGAAAGTAGGCATTTTTTTAACTATGAAGTAACTTCCAAAACTCAAACAATAAAGAAAAAGAGTGGCGATATAGCGATACTTACGTCGTAGGGATCGTTCTAATGCTATCGTTTCTTGATTTCGTACCCAGGATGCTAATCTTCTTTGAAACCCTTGTAGAGAGCTTAAAGGTAAGCTTAGGGTCTTATTTTGGTCGTGGTCTGTGGAAAATGAAGAAAGAGACGACATAAGGGATATATATATCCACTTTTGAAAAGTCAAAGAAGTGCTAGCTTGGCACCCAAGCATTGGCCCTTCTTTTGACGCTTATATCTTTTTATCCGGATGTCGCATGAATGAACGGTTAAGAGATTTGGAAACTAAATTCTAAGAAATTCAATTTGGTGTGTAATATGTCCCAAAAAAGACCTCATATAGCACACAAAATATATTGCTCAAAAGCTTCAGTGGCACACCTACTTGTCACCTATATAGTCTGCGCAATCTTGCGAAACTGCAAATATCTCTCTACTCTGATGTTGTATCTACAAATGGTTAATGCGTTAGAAACTACACTCGAATATCTTCAATTTGATATGTGGATAATCCCGTAATTCCAAGTATATTGGGAGAAAAGCTCTGCTACATTTAATTTTCAGCATATTATGAATGTAACTTGTGATAACCTTTGTCAACTTTTGTTCCACAACTCGCTTGACTTCAAAACGTAGCACACAAATATGATACGACTGAAATAACTCATAGCATAACCTCCTTATTATGTTAATCACCCTAGTCTCACCCTAAAGTGCATATTATAACATTCCAAACTTATCGACGTTTGACGAAACTTATTTTTCGTTTAGCTTCTAAGCTTTCCAACCCTCTTGTCACTTGTTATTCATGATCTTATAGATTTTTAACCTCTAAGGTAACTAAAAAGTAGGGATTTTAACCTATTATTTGCTCTCTTTCACTTGTGTTTTGGGCCAAAAATGCGTAAAGGTATTCCCGGAAACTAATGTAATATGCTTG